CCCGGACGAGTGGGTCGTATGCGACCGCAGTTAGTAAACAGCGTCTAGCTCTGTTTGTGAACATCTGATTATCACGGGCTTTTCATATGTCTCAAGGAAATCGTTGCCCGCAACTATTTTGTCCTCAACAAAATAAGCCTACATAAAGTTTTAATGTCCCAATCAAGGCAAGAAGTAAAGTGAAATATTTTCCAATTATGACGACTAATTAGCCTAATTATTTAGTTGTTAGTAATTAATTGGGTCTCGACTGGAAAGTCAATAATGTAGCCCAATAAATTTTGAGCATATGTGCGAAAGATTCGTTGCGTTTAGTATTATGGTTTGTCCTCTATAGCCTCTAGAAAAGGTGGGTCGTAAACGACCCTATCGTCCCTAATGGGTTAAAGCGTGTGGGTTCAACAAAAGAGAGCCGGTGAAACTCCTGCTACCTGACCAGGTGAGAAGATGTACAAAGCTGTGGGAATAAGTGACACTTGCAGTGAAAACAACCAGAAGACCAAATCTTATATTGCGTCTAGCTCGATCAGTGAGAGACAGTCTGGGGTTCGATCTCCCGATAGTTGCATACGACGACGGACCAAACGATTACCCGGATGAAATATATCAGCAAATTGCAGAGTATCCCTTATTACAGTACGTAGTGAGTAAAAATGAAGATCTCGGTATAGCTCGAGGAAGAAATCTGGCTGTTATGCAGGTCAAGACTAAATACTTCTTCCTTCTTGATGATGACATCAAGTTCATTGAATACACAAAACTCGATAAACTTGTTGAAATCCTTGACACTACTGATGTTACTGTGGCCTCAGCTGCTTACTTGGTATCCGGCTTTACATCATACTTTGAATTTGGACATTTCAACGTGAAGAAGGCAGTTCGTAGACTGGGAGCTTACCATGGAGCTTGCACAATTGTCAACCAAACAATTCCAAACCATCCAAGTTGTGTCAGATGCGATATTACTCAAAACGTATTTCTGGCACGAACCAAAGAGATATTGGATATAGGAGGATGGGACCCAGAGCTAATGATAGTGGAACACAAGGATATATTTAGACTGAAGGCAGCTGGCATGAAAGTTGCACTTTGCCCGGATGTGAAAGTGAAGCACGCTCGTCCAACAAATGGCGAGGACTACTTAGAAAAAAGGAGACGAGGAGGAGAAAGGTTTGATAAGTATGATTTTAAAAATATGATTCAAAAGATTAAATATAAAAGAAGTCCCCACGTAAATGTGACCAACAATGACTTGTGACTTAAAATTTAAATTACAGAAAGACTTCATGACACTACCACTAAATAAAGATGAAATGCTCAATTTCCCGATCCGTGGTGGCGTATTTTATCATATTCCATACAACCTGGGGACCCCAGTCTACTGTTTATGAGCATGCAGATATGGCGGAGTGACAGGCCGAGCGCCGCCAAGTTAATTCCACATTAAATTTGAAAATCGTGTAAATTTCTATGTAACCATATGTTTATTGTTCATGCAACCTGACACAGATGTGTGCAAAACAGTAATACTAAGTACTAACTCGAAATAATAATAATAATATATCTTTGTGATTGTTTCTCCCGTTTTTCTTCCTATGCGTTGCAAGCCCTCTCACTTGTAAAAACAACCACTTTTGTAGATACACACAGTCTCTACGCTTTTATTCTCTGGTCCCTAGGGAGCTAGGGTCAGCTGACTCCGGAAAATTACCGATTGCCAAGGTTTGATGCCTAGGCTCTAGGCAGTCGAGACCTCTTATTGAGACCAAATATAATAATATGCTATCAATTAGTGCCTAGTGGGATAGGTGCTATGTACATGGTGAAATTAACAATTTACTTTGTTAATTCAGCGACATAATCAACAATTATTTAATTCAGAATATCGCGCAAGATAACTTTGTATAGTCTAGTTAAGAACGTAGGTGACATATTGGCGTGGGGACGTACGTATGTATGTATGTACACTCGACCGTTACAAGCTACCATATACCAAAAAAACCTCGTTCGCTAACCCTTGTCCTTGACTCTTTTGGGTCTTCGGCACTTGAGTCATGGATCGGGAAAAAATCTGATATATTTATTGAGGAAAATTTGTTAAATGGTAAGATTACAGCCTTACATGTGTACTTGATAATAAAAGTAGCGTTGAAACAGAGGTATTAACTGTACTAATTTCAGGTTTAGAGCTCTAATAAACAGCAGATGGAACATTCAGAGACTTTTCGAGAGACCGGCAAGAGATCACTTGGTGATGAACCACGATACAGGAGACATAACATACATGGATGAGAAGGAATATGGATGTTAATGGTTCGATATTTTAATGGTCAAATAAGAGCTGATCTCTGTTTGGGATACCTAAAGAGTCAATTTTCAATTGTGGGTCCATTTAAATATTTCCCTTTTTAATTATCGTCAGTTACAATCATCGTGTTCTTTCTTATAGTTATATCAATATCATTTTATTGTATTTTTACGATACAGATTTATAAATTTGTCTTGTCGTTTGCAGTTTCAATTTCTTTAAGTAGTGAATCGGACTCAATGTTTGTATAAGTTGGCTATTTCTACGCTAAACTGCTTAACTGGATACTTTCAATTTTAAAGTTTGTACTCAAACTGCAGAGTAGAATGTTCATTGTTGTAACGGTCTAGAGTTTTATTTGTACTCATGGGAATATGTGATCCGTTAATCAGAGTGTACTTTTAACTCCCACCAAAATACTTTCTAAGCAGACCTCGAGAAAATAACTAGATTTGGTGTAAACTCTAAGTCGTGTTTCCATCATTTCACTAGAAAACTTAAAAGCTATCCTCCAAGATCAGATAAAACCACCCAATCTCGAACTCCAGTAAGAATTAAAAACCCACGACTATTCTTCTTACTAGATCTACCTCATCAGGTGATTCAATGATACACATTACACATATGCAAGCTTTTTCGTTAACAAAAGCGAGACATGTACTCATGTAGTCTTATTGTTACTGTCTAAGTTTGTCTTGTTGGATATTTGCAAAGACTCAATCCAAATGAATTAATAATTCTACATTTTACAGCGTACTCACTGTCTTAATTTATCAGCTGATCGGCATTGATTAGTAGTGTTAATGTTGTTAATAATGATTTGTCCTTTCTATTCGCTTGTCTGCTTTAGCAATCAATTAAGTGTTCACATGATCAATTATATATAATATCATTATTAATCAACTATATATACAGCAAACACAACATAATAGAAAATAAATCATAAAATCGAGTGGCCGAGTAGTCTCGACTCACCCATAGCTTCTCCATAAACGTCTATCATGAGCTTTGTACACTAAATCGTTGAAATTACTTAAACTAAATCTTTTATTTACAATCACAATAATTTTCTTCGTCATAATGTCATAATAAATCAAATAAATTTGAACGATGCCTGCCCCTCCTTCCTTTGTAGTCAAGACATCCTAAACATGCAAATCTGAAAGATAAGAAAGCGGGAGTGTCATCACCGCTTCTGAAAACGTGCCCAAACATCTTCCATCTTGCTTACTTGATCCTTTCAGTAAGGGGTCTGACATAAGACATTAAATCTCTTATATAAGTTCTCGTTACTGATAACCGTAGGCCAATAGGTGTTGATTATCTGTCTCAGATGCTTCTTTTGAAGAACGTCGACAGATGCCATAACGGTTTCAGGAGCAGCCCAGCTGCTACAATTATACAACAACACTGAAGTGACAAGAGCTTCGTACAGCTTCAGCTTTCTACTCTCACTGATCTGAACAGAATTATTCAACCAGACTTTCTTGTAGGTGTAGAAGGCAACATTGGCTTTGTTGCGTCTGTTGACAATGTCTCTTTCTGAACAAAGCTTTGATCCTAATAGCACTGACTCTCGCCACTCTTCTCGCCATATAATATCATATTATCACAAAATGATAAATCAAACGTCACTGATCAAGACTGGAGTCACCACACTTTGTGGTTAGAACTTACACCAAAAATCCCAGATGACAAATAGTTTGAAAGATCTGATATAATCTCAAAAAACACATTAAAAATATATTGTATAATATAAGGGAAAAATTAACAAAAGAGGCGCCAGTACCAATTTAGATCATTTACATATCCAAATTTTTAGAAACGGTCTCCCTCCCTAACTTGAAATTTTTTTTTCAAAATTCTCTTAATATTAAGAGCGCCTAGCTATTAAATGGATTCTGTTTGAAGAGAGCCGCAGTTATCCACCTGAGCAATATGTCAAAAAGTGCAAGCTTGTCGACATTCTTCCTTTGTCTCAAAAGTTTGACTTAAATGATCTTATTTTTTTCCACCAAGTTTTGAACAATTTAATTCCTGTATCGCTGCCTCACTATCTCTCTTTATATCAGGGCACTTCTCGACTAAGACGTTGCCACCTCGACAGTCTGTCTATTGTGTCATGAATTTTACCTAAGTTCAGTCAGAATTCACACACAATCTGTACCTCAAATAGTCCACTGGCAAAATCATTTTTCTGCAGAACCCATATACTGTGGAATGGACTCCTTTTACAGGTAAGACAGATTGTGTCTACTAGTCTTTTCAAATCTGAGGTCACTAAGCATCTATGGAAATGTTTATTGGATAGTGAAGCAACAGTCTAGCCTAATATCTTTGCTCCCCATATTATTTTTTGTATTTTTATTTTTTCTATTTACCTTACTATACGTTCAACATCATATCACACTTCCCCAACACACCTTCTCACACATTGATGACCATATCAGACTTGTATCTAATGTATATGGAATTTGACATATTGAAATACCAATTTTGACTCTATATCCACAGTTATTCACCATGGATTTGTTTGTTATTAAAAAGTTTTTCATAAATTTTTGGATTTAGATTAAACTGATGTATTGGGTCCAAGTAATTGCGGACATAGTTCACTATGTGTTTACCGTGTTTGGTTGCCCATCATATTTTACAGATGGGGGCGATATTTTGAACGATACTATTTTATATTCATTTATTGCTGTACTCTGTAAAATTTGAAAAGTATTTAATAAAAATTGAAAAAATATCAAATCCTATTTTTAGGTGGCAAAAGATATGAGTCTCGTTCGCAAAATCAAATCAACATTAACTCGATGGCTGCAGCTAATTAAATTAGTCCTCGTGGTTTTGATGATCATTTTTATCTTTTACAATTTGAGGAGAGGGATAGTATACGATCTTGCATTCCTAGGAAATTCGACTAAAGAAAACAAGCTAATAGTAATGGTTTCTTTTCCAGTTAAAACAAGGGCAAACTCCAAAAATATCATTATTCATACCAATATTAGTGGTTACATATTCCACAACCATCGATTAAGATTATGGTATGAAGGTAGATGTATAGACTCTAGTGACGGAGAAAAGTTGACAGTACAGTTTTGTGATCCTAATTTACAGCAGGTGAGACTTAGTCTCAACTTATGTTTCTTCCACTAAATGCAGAAGATAATACTAATTGAGTATTTTTGGGACCTGATCAAAAACATTGAAAGTTGAACTACTAACCATATTGCCACCATAACTAAAATAAATATGAATGAAGGTCAATTTTTGTCATCATTAATAAATATACTCTCAGGCGTTCAGTCTAACGATGGATAATCGTCTGATATACGAGAGAACTGGAAGATGTGTCAACTACAAAAGCCATGATAATGCCAAATTTCTGGAACTTATAGATTGCTCTGATGTCACAGAATCGTTCTTTACAGAAGACAAAGATGAAATGCTTTACATACAGCGTATCGTGAAGAATGAAGAGCTGTGCATCACACCAATGTCAGAGAGGAAGGATTTGAAAGTTACAACAAGTCCTTGTCTGGGGGATCCTGTTGGATTAACACGTTGCAATAAGCATGCTTCCAGAATGCTACTGATGGAGGAGGGTTATTTTCAAGAAGACAGGAAATTGTTAAAGATGGCTGTTATACCTCCAAATAGTTCATGTGACTTTAAAGCGTGTGGGTTCAACAAAAGAGAGCCGGTGAAACTCCTGCTACCTGACCAGGTGAGAAGATGTACAAAGCTGTGGGAATAAGTGACACTTGCAGTGAAAACAACCAGAAGACCAAATCTTATATTGCGTCTAGCTCGATCAGTGAGAGACAGTCTGGGGTTCGATCTCCCAATAGTTGCATACGACGACGGACCAAACGATTACCCTGATAAAATATATCAGCAAATTGCAGAGTATCCCTTATTACAGTACGTAGTGAGTAAAAATGAAGATCTCGGTATAGCTCGAGGAAGAAATCTGGCTGTTATGCAGGTCAAGACTAAATACTTCTTCCTTCTTGATGATGACATCAAGTTCACTGAATACACAAAACTCGATAAACTTGTTGAAATCCTTGACACTACTGATGTTACTGTGGCCTCAGCTGCTTACTTGGTATCTGGCTTTACTTCATACTTTGAATTTGGACATTTCAACGTGAACAAGGCATGCCGTAGACTTAGCATGGAGCTTACCATGGAGCTTGCACAATTGTCAACCAAACAATTCCAAACCATCCAAGTTGTGTCAGATGCGATGTTACTCAAAACGTATTTCTGGCACGAACCAAAGATATATTGGATATAGGAGGATGGGACCCAGAGCTAATGATAGTGGAACACAAGGATATATTTATTAGACTGAAGGCAGCTGGCATGAAAGTTGCACTTTGCCCGGATGTGAAAGTAAAGCACGCTCGTCCAACAAATGGCGAGGACTACTTAGAAAAAAGGAGACGAGGAGGACAAAGGTTTGAAAAGTCTGATTTTAAAAATATGATTCAAAAGATTAAATATAAAAGAAGTCCCTAAATGTGACCAACAATGACTTGTGACTTAAAATCTAAATTACAGAAAGACTTCATGACACTACCACTAAATAAAGATTTCTTTTGTGGATGGCCGCTCAATTTCCCGATCCGTGATGGCGTATTTTATCATATTCCATACAACCTGGGGACCCCAGTCTACTGTTTATGAGCATGAAAAATGCAGATATGGCGGAGTGACAAGCCGAGTGCCACCCAGTTAATTCCATATTAAATTTGAAAATCGTGTAAATATCTATGTAACCATATGTTTATTGTTTATGCAACCTGACACGGATGTGTGCAAAACAGTGATACTAAGTTCTAACTCGAAATAACAATAATAATATATCTTTGTGATTGTTTCTTCCGTTTTTCTTCCCTTGCGTTGCAAGCCCTCTCTCTTGTAAAAATAACCACTTTTGTAGATACACACAGTCTCTACGCCTTTATCCTCTGGTCCCTAAGGTCAGCCGACTCCGGGCCAGAGGAAAATTACCGATTGCCAAGGTTTGATGCCTAGGCAGTCGAGACCTCTCATTGAGACCAAATATAATAATATGCTATCAATTAGTGCCTAGTGGGATAGGTGCTATGTACATGGTGAAATTAACAATTTACTTTGTTAATTCAGCGACATAATCAACAATTATTTAATTCAGAATATCGCGCAAAATAACTTTGTATAGTCTAGTTAAGAACGTGGGTGACACGTACGTATGTATGTATGTACGCACAACCGTTACAAGCTACCATATACGAAAAAACCTCGTTCGCTAACCCTTGTCCTTGGATCGGGAAAAAATCTGATATATTTAGTGAAGAAATTCCTAAATGGTTAGATGACAGCCTTACATGTGTACTTGATAATAAAATTAGCGTTGAAACAGAGGTATTAACTGTACTAATTTCAGGTTTAGAGCTCTAATAAACAGCAGATGGAACATTCAGAACATATTCGAGAGACCGGCAAGAAATCACTTGGTGATAAACCACGATACAGGAGAGATAACATACATTGAGGAGAAGGAACGTGGATCATGTTAATGGTTTTATATTTTTAATGGTCAAATAAGAGCTGTTATATGTTTGGGATACCTAAAGGGTCAATTTTCAATTTTGGGTCTATTTAATTATTTCCCTTTTCAATCATCGTGTTCTTTCTCATAGTTATATGAATATCATTGTATTGTATTTAAGGACACGTTCATTTGAGTTTGAGGATATTCGTAAACAAAAATAATGGCGTTTTCGACGATAGTGGCTTAATTTTGACATCTATTAACCTAGCACTTTCAGAAGTTCTGAACATTAGCCACGTAACCCATACTCCCATATGCACCGCTCAGAAAGAAAATCTATTGTTGTTAGGCACTATAATGTTTCAAATGTCACATTTTGTGTGACTTAGTTAATTGCAGTTGTCTAATCATTATTCCTTGGTCTGAAATATAGTAAATTAGGTCAATCTTACAATTATGATACAACATTGGTCAATGGGCACGGATCGAACGGTTACAAGGCAATATATGGGTAACTTTGTCACACTAATGATACCATACCTCTATTCTACTATGAGGTGTCCTAAAAACCCTTTCAACTCATTATTTGATGGTTGCTCTACCAATCATAGCCCTAAAATATATTTTTTTGAATAGTTAGCTAATACAGGCACTTGGTTATTGGGAAATGAGGTTAATTCTGTCACAATATATGAAATTTTAAATTTTGGGCGAATTATTTATATTTGATTTTGGGTTTGAAAGGCGGGAAAACTTTATATAATGACAATGTAGTTGATGCAAGTTAAGATCAGTTGATGTTTACATTGTCACAAAAATTATACGAAATAGTAAATAGGTTAAAAACAATGATTATAGAATGAAATAGTCTCTTATAATAACTGATGTGACAAAGTGAACATGTCTTGCCCCTATTTTGAAGATCTATATTCTATACCTCTATTAGAATTCAACATTCTTAAGTTTAACAATTTTAGGTTAAATTTGTCAAAGTCACTAAAAATGTGACAAAATTAACTTTCCCTGCCCCAACAATATCAAGATAGTGTGTTAAAATTGGCATAGGATGCTTTATTGCCTATATAAATCAATCCAAACTACAAAATATATGTTAATGTGATGACGATTACCTAACTCTTATAGTAACTGATGTGCCAAAGTAAACATGTCTTGCCCCTACTTTGAAGATCTATAATACTATTAGAATTCAACATTCTTTCAGAAAGGATTGGAAGAATATTGTCCAGAACATCAGAGCTCAATTTTAACAATTTTAGATTAATTTGTCAATGACACTGAAAATGTGACAAAATTAACTTTCCCTGCCCCAACAATATCAAGATAGTGCACGTTAAAATTGGCATAGGATGCTTTATTATAGGTATATTAATCGATCCAAACTACGAAAAATATCTTTTAATCTGATGACGATTACCTAACTCTTATAATAACTGATGTGACAAAGTAAACATGTCTTGCCCCTATTTTGAAGAACTTTACCTCTATTAGAATACTATCTTACTATGTAACTTAATCATCAAAAATTTTTCGATAAACTAGTTATTTTGCCAGCAAGGAGCTAACAGAGTTATAATACATTTTTTGTGACGAAATTACCCTATTTTGACCATGTTGTGGTAGTTTAATTGTGACACTGTTAACATATTACCACCTGATAATGATTCATGTGACTGGTGCATGATACTAGCAGTGTTGTTTGATCCATAGTATGTAATATAAGGGGTTTAAGCTGGTATATCATTATTTGTTCAATTTCACACATGTTCAGATATCATCAAGATTATGTGACAAAGTAAACTTGGTTGTGCCTTCTGTGTTTTAATTCCTTACGACTATTATATGATATAATAACAATTCCCAGCACTTTCAGGCCATCAAATAAACCTACACTACTCAGCATTGCTTATCAGGGTACCCTAAACATTCATCACATATTTTCTTTAATGTGTGACAGAGTAAACCTGAGTGCACCATCCAACGAAAAAAGTCGTCAAATATGTAGGTGATGGTCATATGTACCCATCCAATCAACTGGACACTCAAAAATTTGGTCAAAAACGGCAGCAAGGGGTCCATATTTACTCCGTCACATGTTTATAGTGTGACAATGTAACCATTTCCGTGCCGGCCGTAT